TCAAAACATCTTTAAGTCAAGCGTTGAGTTGTTTTGCGGCGAAAATAAATGTGATTTTGTTTTACTTTGGATTCAATACGAAAAGAGCAGAACTGATGGCAGAATGAGTGCCAAAGAAATGCGAAAATTTCTGAAAAACTTCTTAAGGGATGAGTTGTTCCGAAACGATCTGAACGTGTGGTCAGAATACGTGTCATTCGAGTACTTATTGGCTAACAATCAAACCGAAGGCCGAAAAGTATTTCAAACAGCGATTGAGTTAATGCTTAAACTCAACCAAAATAGAGACCAACTCTTGAAGTTTGTCCGCAAATACATTGAACTCGAGTTTGACATCAATTGTTTGACTCAAATGTCCGACAATTTATCGGTAAAACATTCCGCAAAAGACTCGACGATTCAAGACTTGTGTCTCAATTCATTGTTATCTATAAGTTGTGGTCAAATAGTGTCCAACTCTTCGCCAACTCTTGTTCTCAAAGCTATTAATGTTTTGAAACAAGTTTTAGAGCCGACTATTGATCACATCTTTTGTTTGGTTTTTATCCATTATTTCACAAAAGGTTTGTTTTTTACTTTGATTTTAATTATAATAATTAACACATAATTTATATTTTCAGGAATTCGTCCGACAATTGACTTAATTGAAGAACAATTGGTTGAAAAGCATTCAAATGTTGACGAAAAACAATTATTTTATTTATATTTACAAATATTATTAGTAAATAGTCGTCAAAATTCTGGCCAATCATTAAAACAGTTGCGTTCAGTACTGAACAGAGCACTGGATTTATATCCAAGTGATCAACAATTTCTGTCTCTATTCGTAAACATAGAGTTCATGTCTCATGTGTTTTGTCGGATGAGAAAGTTTTTCGCCAAAACATATCAAAGCGTTCAAAACCAGAAGAATAGTCACCACAACTGGAATCTAATCATTTACTCCATTCATTCGGAACTTAAAAGACTTGATGTCACGAATGGTATGTTTATATAATTTTGGATAATTTATAAATTTAACGTATAATTTGTATAAAATGTTCAAATCTATCATTTAAAGTGAATGATTACAACAATTACTGTTTTGATAAAAATGCAGTTATTATTCGAATGCAATGATAAGGGACTGTCCGGAAGCCGAGCGCAGCCATCCCTCCCGCGACCCGAAGTAGAGGCCGGGGAGAGAGCGGCCACACCAGCGACCGTCCATTAGGTCCCCTCAAAAATTAGCTTAAGTGCGAATCTGGTGTTAAACAGATCCCTTATTTTCCTTACTCTTTGGTTTAAGCACAGAGTCTTCCATACCATTCACTCTTCACTCCTCTCTCGACCACATATTCTTCGTTTACAGCTCTTATCATACGTTTCGCTCGTCTATGCGCTTATAGTCACACATTTTGCTAATCTTTTATTAAAGATTTATTACTTTTATTTTATTACAATATTTTATTTGTTAATCATTTAAATATAAATTATAATTAATTTTTTTTGGTTAAATTATTGAATGATTTTATATTGCATTGCAATGTATTAAATCCCTGCCCAATGCTAACATATAGTTCATTCGCTTAGAGTTGCGTCCAGTTTAATGAATTACTGTATATTAATTGTTTCTATTGTATTGAAAAACATTTACAAAATCAAATTGCATCACTTTTTTAACAAAATTTTTGTATTTAATTATCATTTTCAGAGATATTCACTGGTTTTGACACCCATTCAGGTATTGTCAATAGGGTTCGACTCTTGTTTGAAAGAGCCCTCAATAGCCATCAGTTATCCAATTGTGTCACTCTTTGGCGACTTTACATCAAATATGAGGTAATTTTTGATAAGTTTATCAATTATTTAAGTTTGTATTCAATTAAAAATTGTTTTATGTTTTTTTAGCTCAACTGCAATAATATATCGAAAGCCAGATCAGTGTTTTACAGGGCTTTACAGACGTGTAGTTATAGTAAAGTAAGTTTTTATTTATGAATTATATTCCACATCTGTTCACTTAATCCCATATTTATTTGAGAATTAATTTATGCATTTCTCTTGAATTGAATGAACGAATAGATCCTATATATGGATGGAATCCAATACTTTTCATCACAATTACAAGAATTAATGGATATAATGACCGAAAAGGAGATCAGAATTAGGACTCCATTAGAAGAAATTGATTTATTGATCGATAATTTAAAATAATTGTTTATTTTGTAAAACGTTTTTTTAGTCGATATATTAATATGAAAAACATATTAAAAGTATTTTTACATGAATTCTGGTAAAACAAAAAACTTGTACTAAAAATATAACTATTTTGAGTTACAATTGCGCTAAAAGTGTGTAAATTTGTAGTTTATATTAATTAAATAAAACGCGAGAAAACATTATATTATAAATATCACACAATCAGAGAGTTATGTAAATAAAAGGGTAATAATATTTAGATTAAATTCAACTCATAGACCCATTGAACGGATTGAGTGTAAAAACAAGTTGTAAACCAAATTTGAATGACATTTTAGTCTCCAATTAAGAAAACAACTAATTTTTGTCTGAGTATTGATATAAGGCTTATATAAGTTATTATATAAAATAGGGTATACTATATATAAAAGGCACTAAAAATTAGTGTAAAACAGAGGGGAAAATATGGCACAAAAACCTGAGATTATTTTACGTTTAGTTTTAAGAGTCGTATCGCAAAAAAATACGACAAAGTTTTTATACAAATAACCAAAAGTATTGAGATTTTAAATATGAGACCAAGAATTCTGGCCCTAAAACACACCAATCGTTACTCAGATTTGAGAATCGTTTTGAAAGGATTGGGTCCCAACCTCTTCTGCGTCCGCCAGTGGTGTCCGCGACCGACACCACCGCCGCTATCAACGGCTCCAGAGCTATCTTCGTCGGAGTTGGCGGACATGGAGTACGAGTCCAGCGGTTGACAGCATTGGATCCATTCCTGTTTGGAGAGTTTTCGGTCGTAATTCTGGTCGCAGTAATTGATTTCCGTTCGGAAACACTTCCGGAGCCGCGAATTAATGGCGTGCGAAGAGCTCTTGCGCCACATCTGGCGAAACAGTTTCCATTCGCTGTTCTCGACGAACGCGTCCCGATTCGTGTCAATCCTGTCGAAGATTGTCTGACACGAGTTGTTGTCCTTTTCCAGCAATTGTCTCAATCGTTGGTGAAATTTGTTTCGCCGCCTCTGATCGCAGCCCTTCCGTATGGACTCGCAGTTGTTTTGGTTACTATTGGTCGACATATTCTGCAGCGTCTTAATGGTCTGTCCGGTGACCCGAGAGACGCACCAACAGTAGGACTTATGGCACTGAATGCGGACATAATAGCCGTCTTTCGTGCACTCGGGTATAAAGAGCTCTCCGTATGGATTCACTTTCGCCGACTCCAAGGCATTGGCGCGCGTTATGTAACAGTCGAGTCGCGATTCGTTCACATTCGTCGACGAATGAGAGTTCAGTTCAAACGGATTCTGGAAACCAGTCCTCTTCGGCGCCGGGCGCTCATCGCTTCCGACCGCCGTTTGTCCGCCACCGACACCACCGCCGACACCGTTGCCTCTCGACGTCGTCGTCGAGTTTAGCGCCAGAAACGCCCGAAAACTGAAGTCAAAGTTCAGACACTCTTTGAACTCCGTTTTGGTCACAAACGAGTCGTTGTTTTGGTCGCAAAACGTGAACATCTGTTGAGCGCACACACGAAACAATGGGAACAGCTTTTTGATCAATTGTATTAAATCTTTGGTCTCTTGTCTTGTGATCCGTTGGTCTAAATTCAGGTCCAATTCGTTAAACTTGGACTCAATGGACGCCGATATTGACGACTCGTTTTGGTGTCCGGTTTTGCGCGTGTTTTCCGACACAAAGACGCCCAACAATTGTGTGTTAAATAAGACTCTTTGAGAGCTAATGCAAAGTCGTTTGTCTTTACGTCGATTTGGGTTCTGTTCGCGTGATGTCGACCGACGACCTGATGGACAATCAAAACCAAACCATGAGTTCAATTAAATCCATTCAATGCCAACAGATATTATCAATATTTACCTGAATTACTGCAATTCGGGGAACTATTCTTCGTCTGTGAATAAATATCATAAAAATATCAATCAATTAATCCGTTAATTGAGCGCAAATACTGAAGACATACAGTGGTGTGACTCTTGGGTCGGCCGGTCATCACATCCACACACCAACAGTAACCGGAACTCCGGTGACACTGAACCGACTGTTCAGCCCATTATCGCCACAAAAAGAGACAATAAGAGAGTGAATACATTGTGTGACACAAAGTGGTGGTCAATGAAAGAGACAATGAGAGAGAAAAGTCACCGCAAAGAGTCCGTCGTGAGTGCACTCCGGGATAAACACGTCCTTATCTCTGGTCTGGGCATTGGATCGGCTGACGAGACAATTGTTGGCCTAAAGTGTCGGATCAATTGAGTGATGAAAAAAGTGGTTCAAACCTAATGAAGACTTACTTCACAATCATTTAGCGTCAAAATGAGACCAAAAGTGATGATTGAAAACCACAACAAAATAGCCATTGGTTTGTATGGATCGCGAAAACAGCACTTCAAAGCAAATGCTATCGTTTTGAATACATTTACAAATAAATTATAGTTTAAATACAATTTACAACACAATTAAATATAATTACAAATAAATAATAAATTAAAACAAAAACACAGAAACGAAACACAAAAACACAAAGTTTTGCGGAAAAAAGTTTGTCTTTTTTGTTGTTGTGTTTGACTTTTTGTTTGTGTTGTTTGTGTTGTTGTTGTCATAGAAACACACTTTCGCTCACAAACTCACCGATCCTTAAAAGTTTGAGACAAATAAAAAGTTTTACCAAACTTTTTGTGTGTCTTTCAATCTATTGAACATCACTTTCATTTAGTCCATCACTTCTCGTATATTAACTAATGTTAAACAATTATAATTACTATTTATTTATGAGTAATATTGTTATTCATTAGTAAACTACTAACTTTTTATTAAACTTTTTAAGTTTTAAATTATTTTTATGAGATACAGTATAATTGTTAGAAAATACTCATTTATAGTATTTAACCCAAACATGTGAGCAATTTGCTAAACATTTGCTAAACGTTTGATAAACTTCTTATAATTAACCACAAATGGCTAATTTTTAAACATATGATTAATTTATTGCTTCTAGATTAATATTTTTATGAAGTTTTAAAGTCAGTCTTTAAAAATAATGATTTGGTTATACTATTGAAATAACTTATATCACAAGTATTGCAAATAAATTGATTTTTATTTATTTAAATTGATAGTAACTTTCATAATATGATTACAAGTATGACATTAATTATTGTAAATTTATTTATAACAAATTATTTATATTTTAAAATTAATTATATTCAATGTATTAAATATATTTTTATCGTATAATGAAATGATTGTTCAAATCTAACACAAAACACAATTAACATATAGTTTAGTTGTAGAGTATATATGAGACAATTTATTGTAGATGTGGTGCACAGGTGTGTGAATAATAAGCAAATTTCACACAACGATATATTTAATATTTAATAATAAGTATTGTACTTTATATACACAATATCCCGGCGCTTGTCATTCAATTTTTATCACAATATCAATTGGTTTTCACACGTATTGGCTATAAGTTAACAGAAAATACATGAATTAAAAGCTAATTATATGACTGTTTGACGCGTTTCGGACTCTTTGGGCGGAAATTGTTTGACTTCTATGACTGACATCGGATGAGGAACTGTTGGAATCGCTATTCTTTTTGGTCACTCTTTTCTTCTTGCGTTTGGCGTCCGACGAGTCGTTTGAGGGCTCGAGTGATACGGTTTTGCTCAACGATTTGGACCGACTCGTGAACATATTGGATGAGGCGGTCCTGTATAGTGAGGACAGGTATCGGGACGGGTGTCGCTTGTGGTACGACTTGCGCACCACTGACCGCGCCTTATCGTTAAGTAGTATTTGAAACGTGAATATCAAAGCGCCCTATAATTCAATCAATCAATTGGTATTTAAGCAATTTTATTTAGGATTTTGTGCTATCAGTTGTGATAATAGGCTAACAGTTAACGTCAATCAATCACACCATACCTGTAATCCATTGAATACAATGAATATATAGGAGAACCATTCGCCAAACTCATGGATGTAAAATAGGAAAGTAATCCACGTTATGCCCAACACCACCACCAGAGATGCCGAGCCTTTAATCCACGACAAACTCTGCGCGATTTGAGTGGCGATTGAACTGATCTGTGACGTTGAGGTCGTGGCCGATATGTCTTTCTCTTGGATTATCTTCTTCTTGACCTTTGCTGAAAACGCTTCCTTCAAAGCCAAACACATGATCACTGCGTTGGCCAAAGTGGAGAGCAGTGCCGGAGCGGCCACAGCCCACACGCGGTACGGGTGTGTTGGCGAAGATATCCAACAACTATACAATAAATTTCAATAAATATATGATTATTAAATAGTATTGCAAAATAATTGACAGAAACATGTTTTCTCATACAAATAAGAGTCTTCTTCTGTAATGAAATCAAATCCAAAGCCTAAAAGTGCGCTCAAAGTGATGACAACCGGCACTCCGTAACCGATGATATATAAGTATATAAGCCTTAAGTGCCCGACATTACTGAAGACAAGGATAATCATCTGATACAAGTGGTAGCCTTCCATTAACATCCACGCAAACGATGCCAATAGAAAGTACAGTAAGAGTACGGCAACCGATTCACATAAGATCTGAAGTGCCCGACATTACTGAAGACAAGGATAATCATCTGATACAAGTGGTAGCCTTCCATTAACATCCACGCAAACGATGCCAATAGAAAGTACAGTAAGAGTACGGCAACCGATTCACATAAGATCTGAGAAGAAAATATAGCAAATAAAGAAATTATTTAAACTTAAATTCTGTTATAAATTCTGTACAGTATAAACGGTGTCCCAATGATTCGGGACTATTGTGTATTTACATAGGAAAACATTGAGTTAGTACTTTATTATAAACACGTATAGATCAGGCATCTATAATCCGATTTTAATAAACTCGGTCATTTTCAAGATCAATAAATCAATTTCTTCTAATGGAGTCCTAATTCTGATCTCCTTTTCGGTCATTATATCCATTAATTCTTGTAATTGTGATGAAAAGTATTGGATTCCATCCATATATAGGATCTATTCGTTCGTTCAATTCAAGAGAAATGCATTAATTAAATCTCAAATTTATATGGGATTAAGTGAACAGATATGGAATATAATTCATAAATAAAAACTTACTTTACTATAACTACACGTCTGTAAAGCCCTGTAAAACACTGATCTGGCTTTCGATGTATTATTGCAGTTGAGCTAAAATACATAAAACAATTTTTAATTGAATACAAACTTAAATAATTGATAAACTTATCAAAAATTACCTCAAATTTGATGTAAAGTCGCCAAAGAGTGACACAATTGGATAACTGATGGCTATTGAGGGCTCTTTCAAACAAGAGTCGAACCCTATTGACAATACCTGAATGGGTGTCAAAACCAGTGAATATATCTGAAAATGATAATTAAATACAAAATTTCTGTCAAAAAGTGTTTAAATTTGATTTTATAAATGTTTTTCAATACAATAAAAACAATTAATATACAGCTAAAATCATAACTATTACGGAAATGTACATGAATATAGCACCTAGACCAAATGAGTAATCAACATAAAGTCTTCGGGAACATATTACCAGATATTGGAGGTAGAAAAAATGTATTGAAAATGTTTGCAAAATATGCCTGGTTATATGAGTAATTTTAAGTCAAAGTTGACTAAATTTCCATTAAGCGTAATGTTAAATTCAAAAAATTTTTGAAAAACTTTAAAAGTTTTTCAAAATTTTTTTGAATTTAACATTACGCTTAATGGAAATTTAGTCAACTTTGACTTAAAATTACTCATATAACCAGGCATATTTTGCAAACATTTTCAATACATTTTTTCTACCTCCAATATCTGGTAATATGTTCCCGAAGACTTTATGTTGATTACTCATTTGGTCTAGGTGCTATATTCATTTACATTTCCGTAATAGTTATGATTTTGGCCGTACAGTAATTCATTAAACTGGACGCAACTCTAAGCGAATGAACTATATGTTAGCAATGGGCAGGGATTTAACATTGCAATGCATTATAAAAATTATTCAATAATTTAACCAAAAAAATTAATTATAATTTATATTTAAATGATTAACAAATAAAATATTGTAATAAAATAAAAGTAATAAAACTTCAATAAAAGATTAGCAAAATGTGTGACTATAAGCGCATAGACGAGCGAAACGTATGATAAGAGCTGTAAACGAAGAATATGTGGTCGAGAGAGGAGTGAAGAGTGAAAGGTATGGAAGACTTTGTGCTTAAACCAAAGAGTAAGGAAAATAAGGGATCTGTTTAACACCAGATTCGCACTTAAGCTAATTTTTGAGGGGACCTAATGGACGGTCGCTCAGGTGTGGCCGCTCTCTCCCCGGCCTCTACTTCGGGTCGCGGGAGGGATGGCTGCGCTCGGCTTCCGGACAGTCCCTTATCATTGCATTCAAATAATAACTGCATTTTTATCAAAACACTAATTGTTGTCAATCATTCACTTCAAGTGATAGATTTGACCATTTTATACTAATTATACGTTTAATTTATAAATTATCCAAAATTACGACAACATATATAAACATACCATTCGTGACATCAAGTCTTTTAAGTTCCGAATGAATGGAGTAAAGGATTAGATTCCAGTTGTGGTGACTATTCTTCTGGTTTTGAACGCTTTGATATGTTTTGGCGAAAAACTTTCTCATCCGACAAAACACATGAGACATGAACTCTATGTTCACGAATAGAGAGAGAAATTGTTGATCACTTGGATATAAATCTAGTGCTCTGTTCAGTACTGAACGCAAATGTTTTAATGATTGTCCAGAATTTTGTCGATTATTTACTAATAATATTTGTAAATATAAATAAAACATTTGTTTTTCGTCAACATTTGAATGCTTTTCAACCAATTGTTCTTCAATTAAGTCAATTGTCGGACGAATTCCTGAAAATATAAATTATGTGTTAATTATTAAAATTAAAATCAAAGTAAAAAACAAACCTTTTGTGAAATAATGGATAAAAATCAAACAAAAGATGTGATCAATAGTCGGCTCTAAAACTTGTTTTAAAACATTAATAGCTTTGAGAACAAGAGTTGGCGAAGAGTTGGACACTATTTGACCACAACTTATAGATAACAATGAATTGAGACACAAGTCTTGAGTCGTCGAGTCTTTTGCCAAATGTTTTACCGATAAATTGTCGGACATTTGAGTCAAACAATTGATGTCAAACTCGAGTTCAATGTATTTGCGGACAAACATAAAGAGTTGGTCTCTATTTTGGTTGAGTTTAAGCATTAACTCAATGGCTGTTTGAAATACTTTTCGGCCTTCGGTTTGATTGTTAGCCAATAAGTACTCGAATGACACGTATTCTGACCACACGTTCAGATCGTTTCGGAACAACTCATCCCTTAAGAAGTTTTTGAGAAATTTTCGCATTTCTTTGGCACTCATTCTGCCATCAGTTCTGCTCTTTTCGTATTGAATCCAAAGTAAAACAAAATCACATTTATTTTCGCCGCAAAACAACTCAACGCTTGACTTAAAGATGTTTTGA